GGACTCGTCCAAGCAGTCACTGCAGAGTCAGTAATGACTGAGCGCAGATAAAAAAAAAAAATAGGCATAGCCCTCTTGGGAAAAAACCCTCATGTTCATAGAAAGCCTCCACTACACAGTGAGGTCTATAATATTCTGTGAAATCTAATCTTTAAAAATCTAATCTTTAAAAATATAAAACTACAAGAACTACCTGTAAACAAAGTAGTTTCTAATTATTCCATTGGGTTTTTTAGGTGGTGACCATTTCACCTCTATGGATGTTGGTCCGATGGCTGTAATGGCAGGAGGACTCAAATCTTCAGGAAAGGCTTCAGCAGTGATTGCATATGCTCTCTCACCAACTCCACAGCCAACTAGAAGAAAACAAAGCCAGTACTTAAGAATCATAAAGCCTTTCAAACATGCAAAGTACTCTTTTAATTGTCAAATACTCAAGAAGTAACATATATTTCTTAATAAAAATATAACATTTCTTTCAAATCACTGTAACCACTGCAATAAAACATTAAATACACAAGGTCTTGAGGCTTCTAGTAGAAAGCCCAGATAAAATTAACACCTATAACTCTCTAGTCTGAGAGTCCAGCAAGTAAGAAAGGAAGATATACCATTCATAGTATCTTCCAAGTCAAGCTCACCTACTCGTGTCTTCACAGACATACATGGAGCTCGCCATGATGGTGTTCTGAGATGTTTTCTTTGTTTCCCAGTCTAGCCTACAGCCATAGTATTCCAGAGAATCTTCCATCCAAATATCATTCAGACCCAACTTGGCAAGCTATTTGTGTTCTGTAAGCCACTTCTTGTTTTTCAATGTACTGCCATCATCTGCTCTAGACTTCTAGACTCACACACACACACACACACACACACACACTGTAACGCTACAATAGGTGAAATAAAACCTTCTTCAAGCTGAGCTTAATGTGGTATACCCATAAAGTTTTTTTGGCAAAAGCTTGGGGGGTTTTTCCCTTCCCTTCAAGGTTTTTTTTTTTTTTTTTT